TCCGTTAGTTTCATTTAAAATGGGGGGGGGGGGTATTCGAAGAAAAATAAATGCCCAGAGCGTTCATTCAAATAAATACAGTAATATGCCATACTGTATAGGTACAAAATAAGTATTGCATTTGTGGAGAAGGTACCATAATTAACTTTGATACCATTTTTAGGTGGTAGTTATAAATGTGGATTTTGATTTCAAAATTAAGAAAGATTATTGAAAAAAAAATACTAAAGATTGAATTTGGCATTAAATCAAGATGTTGGTAAAACCAAAGATACTATAAATATTTAGGATTTTAAAAATCATGTCTTCTGACCAAGTAAAATGGTGTTAAGCTGGGAACCCACTGTGTCCGACGGTTGTCAGCCGACAATTCTATGGGGGATGCAACACCCCCGATGCATGCGCAACAAATCGTTTTCAGCAACTATTTATTCAAGCTGCCACCAACACCAACAATAAGCACACGGTGTTGTGTCAATTAGCGCTCGCAAAGAGCAGAATTGGATTAGTCGTACGGGGGTCGTATGACACATGGTGAGTGCCCGGCCTTGCACATCCTCACACATCATTTTCAACCAGTATGTGATGTTGATGTCAGATTTATTCTTATTAATTAAAAATATATATATATATATACTTGATCAAATTTTTGGCGCAATAACTCTACTGCTGGGTCGTCTGGTCCGAAATGTTCGCTGTCTGTTCATGAACAATGTGTGAATTGCTTACTTTGTGTGTTAGATTTTCAATTTGAAAATTGAAATGAAGAGGCTTTGCCAAGTATGTAAATGCAATAAATAATACTGTATGTGTAAACCTTAAAATTGGCAAATCAATGAAAGATCCTCATAATATGGTAAAAAGCCAACATCAACACTAAATTGTACTTCAAGGAGGTAAAAAAGTAGAACCTTGATTGTTTCAGGTCAGGTTTTGTGGCACGATTTTTTCCGACTGTGGTCAAGGGTTGATTTTTTTGCCCAATTAATGCTGAGTGTTTGGCTGCGAAGCAATGTTCCTGCTTCTTGTGCCGTAGACCCCGGTTCAAACCCTGCCAGTGTCGGATTTTAATTTGCTCTGCTCCTTGAACCCTTGCATGATAGTTAAACAGGATAAGGGTGAAGGTAAACGTAGGAGAATAACCCATAACTTGCAGCGTCATTGCGTATGGGCGTGGTTCGTGACTACCTAGCAGCCGTAAAGAGGCGCTTATAGTAGATACATGTTCATATCATTCCACGACAGGGGCTGAAATGAACCATAACGTCGAGGTAACTCCCTACTCTTCTAAAAAGATGCAGTGGGGGGTTTAAAGTGCACACGAGCCAGATGTATACACTGGACCTATATTTTAAGTCCTTATCCGAGAAGACTGGGGTTGAAGCCCCTGGAAGCTGCAACAATTTTGCGACGGCTTATATTTTAATCGATGTTAGAGTTGTGTAATTTGTAAAAATTAAAAGTATTTTTTTTCTCCCTGACAATTTGTTTTTAGTGATTAAACAGGGGACAGCTCCCCTCCTTGAGAGGAGTTCATGGCCCAGACTCCTACTGCTGCAACCTCTGTTTCAGTCGATTTGTGCGACGACACGAAGCTAGAACGGAATCACTCATGCGTGACCGTCCTACTGGCGTCCTACCTTCTCTGCATACGTAGATTTGGCCAAATTGCGTCCCAGAATCTACTTCACTAGGTGATCTTAATGTTCTCGCATGCGCAGATGGCTTTTAGTTCTACGTCTTACCGTCGTCGTTCAATCGAAACCTCCCTAATGTTTCTTTGGAGGAAATCAGTGTCTGTGGGGAAATAAAGTGAACCTTGAACCTATAAGTTATTTGATCCTAAAACTCTTATCCAGACTATCAAATTTGATTTGAAAAATACATGTGACATGCCTAAATATGGTCATGATGACATCACATTATGACCATATATAGGCACAACGGCACATGATGACTATATATGGGCATGTAACAATTTTTTTGTCAAAGAAAATTTGAAAGTGTGGATAGGGCTTTATATTTATAAATGAGCAATTTAATCTGTTTTGCTTCTTTTTGTGTTTTTTCATTCGTGGTCTGAATTACTGTCTGCGCCTTGAGACGATTTTATCATGGCAGGCGCTCTACAAATGTTCTACCATCATGTACTATTATTTAATGCTTTCTTCATATTTGAGCACAAACTTTAAATCTTTTCTAGGCTGCATTCACGATTCTTGACTTTAGATCAGGAACAAACAGTAAGTTTATTCTTTGGTATCCTAAACTCAAGAAATAATAGGACTAAAATAATTGTGTATTTTATTGGTTTCTGTTTTGTGAATACTGTACATGAATAAGGGGGAACAATGTACACAGTTGCAGGGTTAATGATTACATGCGTGTAATTGGTAGCGGACTATTCCATTTTTAGGGGTGACCATACTATATGGCTCTTTATTCCTTGCATTTCTAATTTAAACCAGTTCTGTATTTTGTACTGACAATGTTTTTCACAGCTCCATGTTGGTTCGCATCCTCCACTGCTCTATTTTACTTAGGCCTACGTGAGAAGTTCATTAAGTAAGAAATATAAAAATAGATTGTGACATCATTACATGTTGTTTTTCAGGGTTTGTTTCATAACTTTTATGAAAAGTAATGGTTGAGATGTGTATAAGAGACAGTATATATATAGTGCGATTGTTGATTATATATTAATAAAGAGGGCTTGATTACTTACAGGTACAATTATCGGCGACTCGTGAGCACCTGTGTAATAGAAAATAAAGTACTGTACAAATACAACTGACGATCTAGTGAGTTTATTTATAAATTTAATTTGGATTTATCAGAAAAAAAAAACTAATTTAACAAAAACAAAAGATAGATTATAATTGGAGTAATATTTACTCCATTTCCATTGTATATTTCAACAATAATTGCCTCGCTTTTATTTATTTATTTTTTAAGATTTCCTTTAGTTATAGAGTCTAACATAAAATAACTGAGACAATTTGAGGTCAGTATACATGCAGTTCATCTTCACAGTAAATATGGAACTTTCGATTTGCGTGACGACGTATCCGTTACATTCTGCGCGTTCTCTGGACAACGTATTCGGGCCAAACTCAACGTTCTTGCATGCGTAGATGACTACTTAAGGACGTAACATTACCGTATTAATGCTCGAATTGCGCCGCGGCGCTTAATCGAGAGTTAATATTACCCTGGGTGTAATGAAACACTTTGAGGAACAGGGTTTTAAATACAATGTGTGTTAAAATGAATAAATAACAATTGAAGACAAAAGACAAGTACTGTATTTCTCTGTAAACGTTTATTTACGGTAATCACAGACCCTATGTGCGATAATGAAGGACCTATGATAGTCCTACTGAACTACGGGTATACGTGAGCTATGTAGTATGAGAACGGGCATTTTTTTTTTATAAGCGCCGCTCTCGAATAAGCGCCGTACTGAAGCCTCCAAAAATTGTATAAGCGCCGCGGCGCTTATTTGACGGTATTTGTAATAACGTTCTAGGTTATACCGCCATGGTTCTACCGTCGTCGTGCAATCGAAAGCTTCCCAATAATTTTTTTAAAACGTAGACTACACAAATTAAATGTAATCTTATTTGCGAATGTGTGTGTACATATTAATACAGTAATGGTCGTCGTTATAATTTTGTTGATTGTTAAAAGTAAGATATGATGTTGGGCGCGGCTATTTAACGTGATTGATTGCACGGGCGTGGTATGCGATCAAGTGAATAGGACACATCTGGGCAATAATGTTCAGATCGAGTTTAACAACTACTACTACCGTATTTTCTATAGGCCTATTGGAGAATGAGTGTGAATATTAACTACTCTACGCACTGTATACTTACTAAACTTCAGATGTTTGCATGTTAACTTATACAAATGAAAGATATTTATTCAATAAAGTTTACACACATCGATGTTCTTGTAGTGTTATTAACTTTTGTTATTACTAGTAGTGGGATAACCCTATGGTATTTGGAACTATGCAAAGTAAACAGAAAGGGAACACTTATAAGACCAACAAAATGTCATTGAGCTCGAGCTTTCGTTTACGCGGTAAACTTCTTCAGGCGACTAGACTATTAGGTTATTGCCAGGATCCACTGTCACATGATTTTTTTGAAATTTATACCGCACGCACTGACCTGATTGTTGAAGGATTTCTGGATTTATGAGAATGCCGTCCGAAATTCAATAACAGAAACTCATTGTCGTTATTAATACACAATAGGTATTGGCAATATTGTACCAGTGTAGATATTGCACTTTTAAGTACATGTACAGGTACGTTGTGTACTTTCACAATCACGTGAATGTTACAAGGCGGCCACAAAACCACACACACGGATATAGCGCCGACCGATCGAAAATAGCGCGGCCGAAATGATCGGATACCGTTCTCGCCGTAATGGTTGTTCCATGGCGATGTACCTTTCGTACCTCAATTTTAGTGCTGATTCCGGTGCTGGTTATTATGGATGACAACGATAGCGATGATTATTCTGGTAGTGATATAGGTATGCTGCCTGCCCAAAAAAAAAAAAAAAAAAAATCGCGGTAATATCAAACATTAAAATAGAAAATTTAAAAGGATCAAATAAGTTCAAGGTCGTTTTGTTTTACACAACGCAAAAATAATATACCGTATTTATTCACGCCCCGCTTTGATGAATGAACTCCCGCTCCAGAGACTCATTTGGAATAGGCCTCCCTCAAATAAATGCCCCTTTGCATTTATTTTTTCCACGATTAAACGCCTCTGAAGTAGACTGAACTAATGGAAGCGACGTCATTCTAAACACATTTTATTTATGTTAGCAACGTCATTCTCAACACATTTTATTTATGTTGTACTCCCGTTTAACAGACTAGAAATAAGTAAAAGATCTATATTTATTAATGGCCCATCATATTGGAATGATCTTCAAATCACATTAAGACCTAACAAAATGACATCCTCCCAATTCTAAAAAAGAATATTAAGATGATATTTGAAACATATATTACAACTTTGTTAGTTAGGCCTGTTGTAAATAGTATCATTTGTTGAATACAGTTAGTGATTTGACCACCGGGGAGAGGTGGGATTGTAGGTATCCCCCTGATGGGACCCCTTCGATCGGGGATTGCTGGAATTCGAATCCGCCGGATTTGGCCGGTCTTCGTTTGCAGCAGTGCCTGGTTGGAGCCCGAGACTGGGGATCAGTTCTCCTTTACCAAACGTGGCTGTGCCCGCTATTCCCTGGTTAATTATACTTTTTCTCCTAGTTGTAACTTTTTATTTTCTTGTGTGTAATGTAAATTGTTTAGTACCTGTATGTAAAAGACAAACTGCGACTTCTGTACATGCTGCCATTGTAAAAAAATTTAAAAAAAGATATGGCATATTATCTAACCTGGTTGGAATTAATAAGTGTTTAGGATCTCACAGTAACACATTTTTTGACGGTAATTTATGTGTTGTAGTTCGACATTGAGTTAAGGGCCATTTATTCGAATAAATACGGTAAAATTCTTCCGTAAAGTAAATTAATTAAAAGTTACAGGAATTTTACTTCTAAAATTAATTAATTACCATCTAATATCTGGGTCTGTGTCAGTCGTTCCCAACCTTTTTGCATACCCGGATCCCTTGGGACATGTCAAAAGTCTTCAAGCCCACTCCCGTGTTTAACTATTATTAATTGTCGTTCAACAATAATTTTATAGATAGAAGATGATTCGCCACAAAAGTACAACAATAAACAGTGGCGGATACGGGAATTCGAAGTACTGTACAAATATTTTAATAGTATAATTATTGAAAATGAAACTATTGATAACGGACGCATTTCAAAAGTACACTGACGCATATACCACACTTTTATGCACGTTTCTTTACTGTCTATTTTGATTTCTTTTCTTTTTGATTTCTTCGTTCATATCAAAATTCCTTCATCAAAATTCTTCCGCGACCTAAACATTGGCTCGCGACCCATACGTTGCGGAGCGGTATTCTAGATGGCCGAAAATGGCACTGTCAGACTCAAAATTTAAATGAAACTTTTTTTAAAATTTATTCAATATACATGAGGTAAAAGCAATATAAGACAAAACATACAAACAAGATGTTTATTATGTGAGGATTGCCACTATCAATTGGCTCTCACTATACATCTGAACTCTAAACATCTTTATATAAAGCAAACATAAAACAAATATAAAAGATTCTAACTGATCAGAGATAGAATATTTGAATTAAAATATTATTAAATAAATTAACAGTGAACGAAATCTATGCCTACGTCAGGGGTATTTCATTATTGATAAAGCACATAATGTTTAACAGTAATATGTTTAAGACCCTGTTTTAAGACAAGTACGTAAATTAAGGGAATCTTAAAAATTGGTATAAAATTAGAGGACCCCAACATCTTTCCTCACTGAGTTTTGGAACCACTGCTCTGTGCAATAAATTACAGGAAAGGTGTATACAGTGGCGTATCTAGAAGTTTTGATATGGGGGTGCGCGAAGATGAAGTGGGGGTGCGCGAAGATGAAGTGGGAGGGGGGCCTCAATGGTCAGTTGAGGGCGCTTTTTGGGGCGGGGTGACATGCCTAAATATGGTCATGACCATATAGGCACATCATGAATAAATATGGCACACAATTATAGTTTTTTGTTAAAGAATATTTGATAGTGTGGACAGAACTATAGAAAATATCCAACCATCGTAACTATTTGTGTGTTCTATTACTGTATTCCTTTATACCTCCTTGATTCTACTAAGGCATAAAAAATTACCGTAGGCATTATACATCTTAGCCTTCTGTCATCGATACCTTTAGAAATTATAATAACAATGCTAACGAGAATGAATATTGATCATTTTGGTAATGACTTGATACCATATAAATAGAATGGTTTGTTTAATACTGATAATGATACAATATTCATGATTTGATAATAAACAGACATTCTGTCGGTTTGGTTAAGCATGATATAAGTAAAGACAACAACCCGACCCGTATTTCTAACTTGTAATTTTATATGTGTAATTGAGAATGCCTCTCGGAAGTAACTCTTGTTATATTGAGTTTAAGATCCGGAGCGGAACACTGTAAATTGCTCTGAAAACAGATCTATCTGTTTGCAAAGAAAGAGAAAATGAAGGTTGTATTTTACATATTGAATGAGCCAACGTCTTAGAGATTAGGCTCGACAGGCATGGTGATAATATAATGGGCCATTCCTTTAAAGGCCAACTCAGACAGCGTCGGCCGACGCAGCCCGACCCAATTTATCGTCGGGGACAGTCTTGAGCAGTCGTGAGAAATATTAAACATGTTTAATATTCTACGACGCGACTGCCCCCGACGCACACCAGCTTCCCCCAACTCACACAGACCCGACGCCACAACAAATCGCGTCGGGCTGCGTCGGCCGACGCTGTCTGAGTTGGCCTTAAGCCCTGCCCCTGGGATGTTCTTGCTAAGGACAAACAAAACGAGAGCGTGAACGTACGTAACGCATGTTTTGTGGCACTTTCGCGTATTCCTGGCCGTGTTCTGATTGGTGAGCTGTGTGACACTCTAGGAAGTTCCATTCCTAAGTCTTTGATTCTATGGTATTCCTTCTTTCATGAGTTGGTTCAAGATCGGCCTATATATCAAGATATCTTGATTGTCTGTATTTACACTAGGCTATATATTATTCCGTTCCTTGGCACGTATTGGCCAAGGACATTTATTTCAACTTTTATATAAGGCCTTTGGCCCAAATAAAATATAATAGCTATTTACAGAGGGAATGATCACTTCTACGTTTAAATGAGTGATAAATAAATTTACATAAACAACTTATTTATTTATTTACTAATATCTTTAGCCAGGATGACACAATCATTTTAAAGAAATGTTTTTCATTGTGGTCCTGGAAAAAAGAAAAAATAATAATAATAATAATATTATTAATAATGATAATAACAATCATAATAACAATAATAATAAACAACAAAAAAATAATAATGTTAAACAAAACACAAAAGAACACACCCAGAGTCAGGCATTAATAATCATAATCATCATTTCGTAACCCTTTTCCTCCCCAATTCCACTTTTTTTTTCTTTCCTTTTTCATTCTTTTTTCCCCCATTTCCTCTTCAGAAATCACGAAAATGGCATACGCGCGCCCCCGCTTTTGAGATGACGCCGCCATCACTACCGTGTACACGCAGGTACCTCGGCGTCAGTTTGCTGGGCTCCGGTAGCTTCCACCGAGGATAAGCCTGCGGCTCCCCTACCGTGCACTGCTAAGTTGACGGCGCCACCTCAAATAAGGGGGTGCGGCTTTTTTGTATTGATATCAGTAGTGGACATTAATTGAGTAAACTTAACTTTGGATGGATTAACAATAAAATACTTGGATATATAATGTTTACGAATATCAGTGTAACAAGGGCAAATTAAAGTAAAATGGTACTCATCTTCAACTAAATTTAATGTACAATGTTTGCATAATCTATCTTTTTTTTTTTATCAATTTTTGACCATCTACCCGTTTCAATTTCTAATTCAAGGAATCCTAAACGCAACTTAGTAAGAATACGTCTATAATTAAAATTTTGTATATGCATTAGGTATAGTTCGATTGTAAAATTATATTTAAATGTCACATAATACTTAAGTCTGGAAAATAAATGAATTTGTTCATGAAAATTTTGACGTTGAATATCAGTTAGACGAGTAGTTATTTCAGATATAAAAGCAACATTGTTCTCAACATATTGTTCATACCAATTTATACCATAACCAAT